ACGTTAGTCAAGTATTCTCTGATAATATTGATACCAGTTTTGTAACCTTTCCAGAAGGTAACTTGAAAATGGCACCCTTATACATTGGAAAGGATACTGTCCTAAAGTGGCTTCTGAGACTCAATCCTGGTAAGTCCAGTGGCCCTGATGAACTCCACCCACGCCACGTATATTAACAGCATTGGCTGAAAACATAGCCGAGCCATTGTAGGCTTGGTAGTCTTCAATATGTCTCTGGACCAGTCTAAGTGTCTAAGAGACTGGAAAGATGCCATCATTAGTCCGGTCTTGAAAGCCGGATCTAGAAACTTAGTTCAGAACTATTGTCCTGTTAGTTCGACCAGTATTGTTGTTAAACTACTAGAAAGAATAATTCGTGATGCTATCATTCAGTTCATTGAAGGGAACAAACTTTTCGCTGTGGAACAGCATGGTTTTAGAGCAGGTCATTCTTGCTTGACCAACCTTCTTTTGGCCAGAGAAAGTTGGGCAAGCTCAGCTGATGCTAATATACCGGTGGATGCCATATTCATCGACCTTAGCAAGGCGTTTGACAGAGTTTCTCATTCAGGTCTTCTAGTAAAGTTAGGTAGTCTGGGAATCAATAAGGTGGTGGCCGACTGGATTCAAGACATTCTAAAGGACAGAAGACAAAGAGTACGAGTTAACGGGGTTTTATCAACATGGGAATCGGTTAAGAGTGGCGTTCCACAAGGTACAATTCTAGGCCCACTTCTTTTCCTGATTTATATTAATGAGATTCCATCGGTAGTTAAGTCATCCTGCTTACTGTTTGACGATGACATCAAGATATGGAGGGCTTTACACGATGACAGTGATCAACTTGCTTTGCAGGAAGATTTAAACTTGTTAAGTGATTGGTGTAAGCACTGGGCCTTGGAGATTAACTTAAGCAAGAGTGTAGTTATGCATGTATCTCATAGTCACGTGCACAACTACTCAATGAATGGCATTACTCTCCCAGTGGTCACTGAGTACAAGGACTTGGAAGTGGTTGTGCAACGTGACTTGAAAACAGCAACAAACTGTAGAGCTGCAACCACTAAGAGTTTTCGAATATTATGGGTCATACGCAAGGCTTTTGCGAACTTTGACGCTGATATATTTCGTATATTATATCCGACTTATATCAGACCTCATTTGGAATATGCGATCCAGGCAGCGAGCCCGTGTTTCAAATACGAAATAGACTTATTAGAAAGGGTGCAAAGAGTAGGAACTAAGCTAATAAAGGGTTTCTCAACCCTCTCATATGAGGTGAAGTTAAGTCGACTGGGTTTATTTCCACTGTCATACAGACGACTTAGGGGTGACCTAATACTAGCATACCGTATCCTAAGAAATGATTTTGGAGCTAATTTATCTAATTTATTTCTTCCTTCTAGCACCAACCAATTGCGAGGACATCACCTCAAGGTTCAAAAACTACGGTCGAATCGTCTGCGTCTGGAGATCCGTTTTTCGCATCGAATTGTGAACCATTGGAACTCCCTACCGGAACACGTCGTATCAGCGCCATCCGTTGATTCATTCAAGGCGAGAAGATTGGACCTCCTGTGTGCAACAAATCGAAAGGATTAACACAGGCATATAGCCTACTATCCTAAATAAGTTGTAAACTGTAAAGTATGCCTGTGCTCTAGAATCTGTCGAAGGGTGAAGATATGATCGATACACCCACCCTCTTTCTGGTCTTAAGCCTGCTTGGCTCTCTCGTGTTTTTGCCTCCCGAGGACCACTTAGTCTACGCATTATTATTATTATTCAACCTAGAACTTTAGATACCATATATATTAGTCAAGCTAATCCCAAACCAAGACTGTTCTATAGCAGTATGATTTTGTTGAACTAAATAATTTTCTAGGTACCTTTGAACTCAAAATCAAACATTTGGAAATCCTTTTGTATAACATTCTTTCCAAGTTTTGATGTTGAAATATAGCTTGTGTGATAAATCAGATCATCAGTAGTGACTATTAATGACTGACTGACTCACTGACTGACTGAGTTTCAACATGGAACTGTGCACAGAAGTACACAGAAGTAGTTCAAGCTACTACGCTCCATATGCACACAGAGGAGGAGGGGCAAAGTTAAACTTTAAGCACTAGTAGTAAGTAAGTACTACCAACGGGAAAATGACCATAAACGACGCACCAGCCACATGACAAATGCAGACTTAAAAGGCATGAAACTGTTACACACACACACACACAGGATACCTTTCTCTGATGTGTGACAAAATTGCTTCTCACTTCTTGATTAGACTGTCAGCAGAGTAATTTAATAATCACATTCTATGCATGTAGTTAGTTAGCTAGTTAGTTAGTCTTCTAACCCTAACAATAACCCTAACGTGAAAATATCCCTAAATTGGTTCTAATCTAACTTGAAGCAACCTTCCATAATGGATAAGATTTTATTTTGATAAATCACACAGTGTAGTACAGTTATATTAACTGATGACGTTTCGAGCACAAACCATTGCTCATAATCATATCAAGTTTTATATCAAGTTTTATACTTATATTGAAGCAACCTTAATTGTGCCCTTATTTGTTTAGCCTATCTACCCCTAACCTGTCCTTAGCTAGCCTAAACCTAATCTGAAACTTACCAGATATCCATCCCATTTACTAACACATAACACTTCAATAAGCATATTTTATTCATGATTACAACATTATTGGGCAGGTTTCACTAACCTGTATGCCCAGTTTGCGCTTCAAGGTCATTATTAGTGCGGTCGCACTCCACTAGTACTTACTGATGCTTAAAGTTTAACTTGGCCCACATAGATATAGAAAAGAAATTCAAAGGGAGTACATTGAGCAGAAATCTACGAGAAGAAGAGTACTGATATGAAAGGAAAAGTATGAAGATCTAAGAGGTTACAAAGAGTGAATGCATTTATGCCTTTGCGAACAACAATCTCAAATCATTGGTTTTTAGTATCCTGAGGATCTCAGCCAACCTGCGTACACCTCCTTATGTGACTGTCTGAAACCATCTGCCAAAAACTTCATCGATTGATGTTATTTCTAACCTACTCCTTTGTCAAGTAAGTAACACTGCTCATCGAGGAAGGCGGTGGCTCGGAATGTGTAAATTTCAGCTGTTATTGATGACTTCAGTCGAAGCACTTATGAAAATATAGAATAAAAACTGTTTTCTGAAATTGACCAGAAGATGGAATTGCTACCAATTCAACTGCGTTTGTGGTGGAGCCAGTTATATCGGCTGTTGCTCTAGCAACTTGGTTTTTCGTGCTCTCTCAGGAACATCTACCAGTGTGGCTACATAAAGGTTTAGTAAAAACCATCAACATGTCGATATAAGACCACCTGGTCCGAACCTGTCACAAAGCAAGCCAGCATTGAAGAATCCTTCTCTATCATCATCTACCGCGTACGAAATCGCATGCTTCAAACAGCAGAGGCTATCGCAATTCGCCTGCTGCTCTGTGTGCAGAAGAAATAGGTCCAGCCACCACTACTGCCTTGATCAGCCTTCAGTGAACACTATCAATTCATGAATTTGTATTATTATCTTATATATGTCCAGACCAAGTTCACTTTTAACAGTTTCAAAAAATTTGGGCATTGGGTATGGTCTTGACAATATTGAAATAATCCAGAAAAAGCGTTTCAGAAATCTCAAAGAGCGTCTAATATCACGAGAAGCACTTCGTATGAAATGGAATCCAAATTGTCTGAATAGGAATGATGGACTAAAACAGAATTTGTCCTGGTTACAACACCTTCCTCCCCCATGAAGTGACAAAATCAACACGAATGTGATAAGTGATTTCATTATGTAAACACACGCTGCTTTCATAATTTTCATGTGCTTATCAAATCCAATAATCTACACCTGGTTTTGTTATCTTTACCAATTGGCCAATTTAACAACGAAAAATGACCTTGTTCTGAGGAACGATGATGATTAAGTTGTTATATAATGCAGGTTGAGATTGTGTAAATTCTGGTTTAATAATACTACTTTGATAAAGCAGCTATTAGTATTAAGTGCCAAAACGTCAGTAAAAACAATATCGTTTTGTTTTTCATTCATTGGGAAATACAAAAAAGCTTTATTGTATTATTATCTTTCCTAATTTCTCTGATATCCAGTGTATTGTTATGTTGATGCCATCGAACTGTAATCCATTGATATTATTCTTATTGTTGATTCGATGTTATTTAAACAACAATAATGTTGTTCATAACACTAATTCATTCATTCACTATAATGTGTATATACCTGTAGAACCTTGAGCTGCAATCTACGAATGTTTGGCATGCGATTCGCTCCCGCCAAATGCAAGATGATGTTACAGGATTGGGCTACACTGACTGCTAGATTAGAAATAGGAAGTGAAGTGGTAGAGCACGTTGACCGCTTTTTACTTACTTGGGAAGTATCATCAGCCGCAACGGGTTGATCTCTGATGAAATCTCAATACGAATACAAAGGGTTAGTTTGGCATATGCCAGTTTACGCTGTCTCCGACGTAGACGTGATATCCGGGTGTCGACCAAAGGGCGTGTGTACTGCTCAGCGGCCCGCTCCGTCCTCTTTTATGGCTTGACTGTGAGACCTGGCCATTGAGAGTGGAAGACATGAAAAGCCTGGTTAGCCCTCTTTGATCATAGGTGTTTGCGTTCTGTCTCCTGTGTGAAGCGGTATAATAAGGTGAGCAATGTTGAGGTTAGGCGTCGTGTGCTAGGTAAGGAGTGGAAATAAACGACGAGGCTGTGAAATTACATCGACTGAGATGGTTAGGACATGTGTTACGTATGCCTAGTCATCGCCTTCCTCGACAATGGGCAATGTTAGCTGATATAGGGTCAGGCTGGATATACATTAGTGCGTTAAAGAAAAAGATATGTGACTATATCGATCCAAACTTATTTATCCATTTACATCAAAAATATGGTATACTAGTTGATAAATATACTACTGAAACTGAAACTCACTTTAGTTGAAATCATACAACCCAATATTTGTGTAGAAATAAATAACTGATTAATAATTTTAACTGCTTCATTTACTTCAGCTGAACCGAATACCTGAGAATTTGCATGTTGGGCGATGAAAGCAACTATATCTAAGTTATCAGTAATGATAGAACAGTCTGTTGCATTCAATGCGCTTCGAAATGAAACAAACGGCGATGTATTTATTAAGGCTACACTTCCAGAAGTAGCTGGTATTCGACTAATTGCATCAGCAAAACCATTGCCTATACCAGTTATAAGATGTTGGGTATGCTGAGTAGCTGATTCTTCAAGATGTAATATTAAAATAGGCATCAGACTGGCTGCCTTTAAGCGTGTTGCTTCTTGCCAGTCGGAGAGATCTTTACACAGACCGGGGAATAGTCTAGACGCTGATCGATAGATAAGTTCACGACAACCTGCAAAACAAAAATGTTTTGAAATATATATATATATACTGAATGGATTATTTAATAAAGTATAATAAAACATTACAATCCTAAACCAAATGGCTTTACAAAATTTGACAAAAAAAGGTTTCAAGAACATTTCGACTTTTTAAAATGTTATTTAAAATAAAGCAAAGTAAAATCCAGTGATGGTGTAAATAGCTACTCATAAAAGTAACCAAAGTGGAAATTCATCAAACAATACAGTTTATAATAATAATAATAATAACAATAAATTATTTGTATATTTGTGAACGAACATCACAGAAAACTTGTGATCAATGAACAGTAAGCAAGTCGAATCATCTGGGAGAGAATAAAGGATGCACTGGATACAGAATTCCGCCAGCTCAACCGGACAATTTGGATTCAGGAAAGGTAAATCATGTGCTGATCAAATTGCAACTCTATGCATCGTATTCATAGAACAAAGCATAGAATGGCAGTCAAACCTCTCCCTACCTCAACTTCCTTCATCGACTTCAAAAAGACCTTCAACAGACAGTGTTGACCAAGAAGTAATTTCGAAACTACTTCAACACTACAGCGTGCAGTGGCCAAGTCTTTATCAACCTCATTCAACAGCTATATGACAATGCCACGTGTCACGTGATCCACAACGGGAAACTTGGAGAGGCGTTCGAAGTGAACACAGGAGTAAGACAAGGCTGGCTGCATGCCTATTATCATCGATGATGATATTCTTAATTGAGGTGGACTGACTGGATTGTGCGTCACACTATGCACAAGGAGCGAGGAGACAGGAGTACGCTGGACCGCCGATAAGAAGACTCTGGAAGATCTGGATTTCGCAGATGATATATGTGTAATGTCACACGAACTCGAAGACTTGCAGGCAGCTGTAAACCAACAAACTGGCAGAAGAGGCTGATCGGCAGCGAAGACAGGACTCATCCAGGTGAAGATAAAGAAGACGGAGGTGATGAAGATAACTAGCTGATGATGAACAGCAACTGCAACAACAACCAGCACCATTCATCATAAGTGGGAGAGATATGACAGGTGACTTCCTGGCTTCACTTGTCTAGGAAGCATCATTTCAACCACAGGCAGTCGGACAACACGGATGAAGATGTTAAAGCCAGTCAGAATCGGAAAGGCAAGATACGCCTTCACCAACCTGAAATCAATTTGGAAATATTCTGCACTAACTCAGCATAAAGAACAAGATTCAGATTTTCAACACCAATATCAAGTTGGTCCTTCTGTACGGGTCAGAAATCTGCACTGCGTGTAACGAAAAGGATTTCCAGCAGGTTGCAGACTTTTATCAACAGTTGCCCCCTTCGCTCCATACTGAAGATCAAATGGCTGGTGAGAAAGCATGAGCAACAAGAAACTCTGGTAACAAAACAACTAAGAGCCGATCGCTCAACAAATATGTAGGAGAAAATGGAAATGCGTCGGGCATACATTGAGGAAATCGTCGAATGATACCGAGCGCAATGTAGACCATCGACCGAGTGGAATCCCAAGGGGAAGCGACGAGTGGGTCGTCGGCGTAAGGGTGACATGGAGGAGATCGTGTGGAGGAGGAGGAGGATTAGATGAGAGATTATGGGCAATCGTGGAGCTAGCCAAATGAAGAGGACAACAGAAAAACAGAAGCGAAGATGTGTTGTGGAAGACCTATGTTCCACCAAGGGAATAATACTAATAATAATAAGCAAGAGATTCAAATTATGAATGTCTTCATAGTTTATTCTGAATCCACTCACGATTCGATAAAATCCAATTAGTGACTTGGATATACTGGTGCCATTATGCATAAATGCAACAATGTTTAAACATTAAAGTATATGCTGGACAGCAATAGTTGAAGGTCTGACTAAGTAGTTTAGCCCAACATTAAGAAGCTATAAAATAGCTGATTGTAAAACCTATTTAGATAGACTATATGAAGTGTACTATGCGCTTATAGTGAAACACCGTCTCATCTACAAAATTATCAATTATACATAACACAAGAGGAATAATCACTTCCTTCTACTGATAAATCTCAACAAACCAATCAAGGTAGGATATTTTTCATTCTACCTATTTGGTGACACTTCTAATCTGACATACGTCTAATTTTTAATCTGTGATGTTGGATTAACCCTAAGGAATTAAATGCTTGCTTCTCATAGCAAGTAAGATAACCTGTTACTTATCGAAAGTACTGCATTTCTAAAAGACATGAAGACTAAGTATTGAAGGAATGCAAATACAATGTTTCTTTGTGCCACTGCTTCAGTTAAACAGAAACGCATGGCAAATGAAACCAAAACTAGCTATACTATCAGGTAAAGAAAATTAAATGATGAGGCTTTACAAGCTGGAGTCGTCACAACATGTATGGTCGGGATCTCACTTGGTAAGATTATGTACCTAGAATAGAATAAGTTAAGGAAAGTTAAGAGTAATCAAGTCCAAATGTAGGATCAATCCATGGAGTTATTGGCCGCTGGCTTGTCACTTAGATTGCCCGGTTGGGTTCCAAGACGTGTAAAACATCCAATCAAGCACGTTCTCGTAGTGTGTTTATCGCAATATAAGAATAAAACTTGGGCACTGTGGTAGAGTATAATTCCATTATGGGTAAATTTTATTTTGATAGTCTCACAGTGTTATACAGTAATATTACTGTATAACACTGAGACTCTATCAAAATAAAATTTACCCATAATGTTTATCGCAATATAGCGTTATTGTTCGTTTCATTATTTTATGGTGCTTAGAAATGTTACAGCCTAGAAATGCTGCACTGTTCTTATATATAATTCTATGAAAACATGTGTCTGCTCATGTTTACCTAAAGGAATACACCAATTGTTATAAAGCCAATATTCTGTGCTAGTAGTCTTTTAACTGTTGTTTGACAAGTTTGTGTGGAAATGAGTGATCACGCACAAAATACAATAGATGTCTGGGCGTCTGAAAACAAAATAGCAGCCACAATAATATTTCTACATCATTTTAAATAAGACAATACTGGAAGCTTGAAATTAGGCATGTTAGTTAGTCGATTGTGTCTACCCGAATACCGTCTGAATAACATCACCTTTCTGAACTCAATAAGACTGTTTAATATGTTACCAATGGAAATCCATATAAATTGTATTGGATAACGCATAATTTACTAATCCGTATATGCTTAACCCCTTAACCCTGTAAAAGCTTATGTGTTTATAACACATCATAGGTACAACAAGCTGAATTTCATGATGTCACATTTTGCTGATAACAAATGCTAATCAGAAAGGCACAAGGAAGATGATTTGAGTTGAAACTTTGCGACTGTGGTTGCAACTAAAAACTACTGCCATTCACTGAATCACATGCTTAAACATAGAGCATTTGATAAATTTGAAAAAGAAACAAATAAAAACCGAACTAAATAAGAATACACTAAACATCAATCTCTCTGAACGAGTGTTAAGATACTTTGGTATTTACTGAATCAACTTACCCAATATTGGTCGTTTACATCCATATGGATAACTGAAAGGAGCACCTTTATCAAAGTCCAATTTATCTTTCAATTGTTCTTCATTTTCCTTCTCAAACTTTAGTCCTGAAAGCTTACAAAGTTTAACCAAGCTTACAAACATACCTATACGATGCCATAAATCAACAGTGACTGAGCGAATATCATCTGATTCATCGATTAAGCCAGATAAGAGTAGAGGTAGTAATCTTGTTTGATAGGAATATCTATCAGGTAGATCTAACAACCATGAACCTATCAGCTGAATGACAGCCTGTCTTACTGCCAGAGATGAGTCAAATAGTCTTTGAGTCAACGGGGAAATGACATTGTCTACAAGCTTTCCTTGACTAACCAGCAGAACTTTTTCCAGTGCCAACACAGTCTCTAACCTAACTTTCGAGTGCTGGTGCGTAAGATTGGACAACATCGGTGATATAATGGATTCTGATATCTGATAAAAACGATGGCATTTACGTTCTGATAAAACGACTGCTATCTTACAAGACAGTTTCTTGATCTCGTGATACGGGTCCAAGAAAGTCCTTTGAAGTATTGTAATGTAATCATCGAGGAATGGTGATGTTTCATGTACCTTAGTCACCAGGGTGTACAGAAGGTTGAGAGTTGCATAACGAATTTCCTCTGAGTGTTCTGTTATATCCTTCTGTCCCAAACGCACTAAAAGTACAGGAACCAACGAAGGGAGAAGAATTGAAGCATCCTTGACTACGTTCACAAACAGTTCTAATACTTTTATTGATAATTCGCGATTAATTTCAACAGGATCGTTTAATGAGTTTGCTAAGTTTCCTCCTATCAAACTTAATACAGTTTCTTCTTGACATCCTTTGGTATTTAAGTAGGTTTCTATAGATTTCAAAGCTCTCTTTCTTACAAACCTGTCTTCATCAACCAGCAAGGCAGAGCATCTAGAAACGTCGGAAAACTCTCCGCTCATGTTGTGTTGTTTAATTTGTTGCGCTTAGTAGCAACTGTATAAACAAATATAATACCAAACATCTAATCTTTCTGTGAGTTGATAGAATAAATTTATTAATCAAGATGAACCCAATTTCAGCCTCTACATAGCGGATGGATTCTAATTCACTATCCAATGTCCATTATCTTTTTGACGAGCTGGGGATTTCTTGGCACTCGCTTCTTCATGTTCAGAAGCGGCCCTTGGTTTTTGACATACTTCAGTGCAGTTCATCCCTTCTACTGCTGCAGCTCTGATGGTGTACATCAATTTATTTTTGAGAAGAGGAGGAGGAATTCGTGATCTTTACAATAAATGGCGTTACCGGGACTCACAAATTTCGTCTTGTTGGGAAATCCCCTAGTACGGCAGACATATGCTTTAGGGAAAGTGGCAATGGATGTGTTTATATGGTATCTGAACAGTTTTTGGAGTGATTAAGTAGGAAGTTTAAGAGAATCAGGTTTAAGTCAAGTAAGACAACGAGAGTGCATGCATACAGAAGCCATAACGAGGCGTTTATTGAGAGGATACATTGTAGGACTCGTTGGAATGTATGCTTGTCTGGGAAGAATACGGTGGCATATACCTCATCATTCAGTTATGAATCCGAAAAGTCTGAAAAGCTTCGATTAGTTTTTGACAATGCGCTAGATACAGTGGTACATATTAAAATCATAAGCTTTTACACTGACTTAATACCATCAGTAGTTCAGTTGGAGCACTTGGACGCCTCCAAGACGGTGCTGTATCGCTTGCCACTGATAAAGAAGAGGCGTTTCTACAGGTGAAGATTCCGAAACAAGATAGACTAGCATTTCGTCCGTTATGGTGGGAAGATGGTGAAATAACCCAAAGGACTTCTGAGTATTTATCAACTGTTCGTCCACCTGATGCTGCCCTCTGCGCTTATTATGCCTTAAGCAAGACTGTTGAAACCCTTAGTAGTGAAAGATCAGATACAGTTCCCAGACTTGTCGAAAGGTGTTTCTATGTGGGTGACTACTTGACATCTTGAACAGGCTATTTCCCTAGTTGAACAGATGAGTTCCATCCTTGAGAATGGAAGTTCTAGACTAATGAGATGGGTCAGTAACTCCATACAAGTAGTAGAGTTCATACTGTCAGAAAAAATTGCACCAATAGTGAGAGAAATGGACTTTGAAAACACCTTATCCAGGATACCTTAAGTTTGTCATGGGACACAAAGGAAGATTCTTTCGTTTATAAAATCCGTGTACTTGATAGGCCCACAACCAGGCGTGGAATTTTGTCAGTAGTAGCCTCATTATATGGCCCTTTAGGCCTTCTAGCACCTATGGTCTTACCCGCTTAACAACTACAACAAATATTATGCAAATAGAGCTTAGATCGGGACGACAAAATACCTGAGAGGGAAAGTGAAATCTGTAACAAATTTCTGCGTAGTTTTGAAGTGGTTGTGAATTTGTCATTTCTGAGTTATCTACGACCTCCGTACATGGATCAGTCAACCAAAGAGTAACATATCCTCTGCGATATCTCTGAATGTTTTGTGGAGCAGTGCCTTACATTAGATATTCTGAAGAACACTACCTATAGTCGTCTTATTTTGATGAAACCTAGGGCAGCACCTCTTAAAATTCAAACAGTGCTACGGCTTGTAATGACTGCAGCCGCCTTGGCGACCAGCTTGGCTCTCGATACATGTGGAAACGGACATTCGCCTTTAAGGGGTGTCACTGACTGACTCGAAAATTGTCTTGTTCTACATCAATTAAACAAATAATCGATTTTAGACATTTGCGGCGAACTGAGCCTCAACAGTTTACGACCTCACAAAGTTTTCCCAAAGGAGATATGAGCCCTCAAAAGAGAATTTCCCAGATATTTTATCTTGTAGAACGCTCTGTAAGGATGAATATCTTAAGTTATGGCGCAAAGATACTTCATTCCTAAGTTGTCTCAAAGCCAAACTGCAGCAGTCAGATATAATCATGAACCCGGATGACTGCGAAATATATTTAAAGACTACAGCAGTGGCGAATGCCACCTCCAGTGACTCTGGCCTAGGTTGCGATCCACATTACTTCCCAGACTGGAACAAGCTGTTGAAGGCAACAACTTGGATGACTGGATTCAAATGCTGTATGTTCATTTGCGTTTTAGCAGAAGTGATATATCTCTTAATTTGACTCCACTGAAGGTGGGTGAATTGCAACATGCTGGATAGGCGGCAGAATCTAGAAAAGAACTCAAGTTGTTAATGACATCTGGTAGTTCAGAAGTGAGAACATTTAGCCTTCCATTGAGCAGCCCTCATCCTATCTTATTAAGTGGCTTGATTTGTGTAGACAGTAGACTACAAAACTCGTTTTGGTTCAGTGAACGGGAACACCTGGTAATATTGCCTACGAAATATTATGTCACATAGTTGATTCCAAGGCACTGCCACAACATGGAAGGGCATGCAGGTGTTACACAGGTACCGGTAACTACTAAAGAAAGGTTTTGGATATCACGAGGAGGTGCAGCAGTGAAAACGTTCATCGGAATTTTTATGCAGTCTAGGAGAGCCGAAGGCCAGAACTGAGATGAACAGCTACCCTTTCTCTTCAGTAAGTGTGGACTGTTTAAGGCGGATAATACCGACACTAGGTAGAAGATGTGAAAAATGCAATGGCTGCACTTCGTCTTGTCTGAGATTATGAGCCGTACATTTAGAGGTAGCGCACAATCTCTCCACAAACTCCTTTATTATAGTTTATTGGTAGGAGAGGACATCAGAGGGAAATATTCAGTGACAATGGGACCAATTTAGTGGGGACGATAAGGGAAATAGATGAATGCTTAAGGGACAGGAAACATGAAAGTAAGCATAGCACCTAAGTGAGCAGTTATAAACTGACATTTCGACCTATCAGTGGTATTTGGGAACACATGGTTAGGGTAATATTGATATTGATATATTTATTCCTATCTATGTAGGACACACCAGTTTTACAGGCATGGATAAGTATTATTTACATTGCATGAATTTGATTTATGGTGAAATTACATGGTTGTGGTCCTCTCTGACATTATTTGGTGAGTACAATCTAATGGCTAGTCGTTAGGTAGACTTTTTTATCAGCAACCGCCAAATGATGAAGGCCTTGTAACTTTATCGACAGAAGCTGACCGTATTTTAAATAAAAAGCCTCGGATATTAGAGACCTCGAAGTGTTAGCACCTGCCAAGCTAATTCACCGACAGCGATCAGTGGCCACTAGGGCTCGTGCAATGTATGGTGCCAAGTAGAGCTGATTTACTTAGACAAATGGAAGAGAAGGCCAGGGGAACACTGGTAAGGAATATTAGGAAATTTCTTCTCTTGGAAGCCAGCGACAATAGGGCCTATTAGGGCGGTATCTAGGTGTATTGGTGTGATTCGTAGATACTTAGAATAAGTAGCCTTATTAGGGGGTTACTAGGTTTACCGTTGTAAATCTTGGTAACCGAAGGCAGTAAGTGATGGTAAGATATTCGCGTGTGTCGTGCAGCGGTTGCTTGTACATGTGAAAAGGGAGTGCATGTTGTTTGTTGATGAATTTCTTCTCTCTGTTCGGAGTTTAGTGCGTGCAGTGTTATGTAATTATTAGCCTTAATGAATGAATATATTGTTGTAGATATTAATTTTCGGCTGTTAGAAAAAAACTGAACCTCTTTTGGCTAGGATTGTAAAGTTTAATGTTGTACCTTTAAACACCAAAGCTGTGATTTATTTACTTTTTGTATTTTTTGTTACTTAGACAGTTTGTGGTTCACTGAACTGTTGTGCATCCTTTGTTTGAATGCAAATTTCTGTTAATTCCGAGTCATTTTGTGTTAAGCTATCATGATCATGGTATTTTGATGCCTGGCAGCCTCATATTCGAAGGTGTTTTCCATGCTAATCCGGTACATTTTCTTCAGTAGGACAATAATTTTGCGTTCTTCACCAGTTTATTCTCCATGGAACTATTTGGCACAGTTTGGCTTCGTTTCGAATTTGGTCGAAGACTGTGAGTCCGTTTCTTCAGAGTGTTACTCGTGCAGTGTCTTTAGCAGTCGGATTCGGACTGACAGCTTGCTCTGAGCATGCTTGTTGAAAATCGCTGTTTAGAGTATGCGTATCCTAGGCAAGGCGTTCTTTTAGCTCATCTTGAAAAGTGACGACGCTAAAACATGTTCCTACTGTCAAGCCTCAAAGCTTCCCACGACACTACGTTGTAGCGGTACGTCCAACGTTTGCGTTACATTTTTGCGTGATTCGTTACATAAAATTTATCTTGTTGTAATCCTTCCACAGGTACTCTACTACTTCCATACTTATAACTATTAACTCTCATATCAAATAGTTATGGTTAACCAAAGTAAAAGGCAGTGAACTCAATCCCCTGTAAAACTGATGACTAATTTTAAGTCGTTGATTGCTACATCAAGCAACACACTTCCTACAAATGGTTATAGTGAGCCAAAAAACTCACTTGTATGTCGTAAGCGTCGAGCTGAAACTGAGGATAAAACTATACTGACAGCTAGTATTAGCACTACTCCCAAAAATTCAGTATCCTCTGCTCATACAGAAACCCTCCCTACACCTTATGTGCTTATCGGAAAGCTCCAGCCTTCAAGCTCTGTTTCAGTACTATCTTCAGAAATAGAACTTCTAAAGTTGTCTATAGGAGAACTTAAGGCCGAGTTAAGGGACTTAAAAAACAACAAGTCAGTAGATCCTGGAATTTCTGAAACCAATGCTAAAATATCCAAATTATCAGATCAGACCAGCGATATCAGATCGCAGGTCTGTGAACTGACACCTTTAAATATTCTCATGAAAACTGTAGACCTTAACAAACTTGACAATGAACCGATATCTAAGGTGGATAACCTAATTAACTTTGTTACTACAGAAGTAACAAAACGACTCGATGCTAAACTAAATGCTATTGTCTACAACGTTCCGGATAATGAGGCACTAAAAAAGGTACAGCGCATCCTACTTAG